ATGAGCATGAAACTGAGCAAACTCAGGGAGGCAGTGAAGGACAGGAAGGCCTGGCGCGATGATTCACGAAGAGTCGGACATGACTTAATGACTGAACAACAACAACAGCAGCTTTACTGTGGGACAATTTAAGGACAGCTATTCCTAGATTCCTCTGGCTTTGTTTTCCCTCCCGCCCAGTGCCACTAACCAGTGGAGGGCTCGGGAAACAGCACTAGCAGCTCTCTTTAACGTGTAGCAGGAGAATCAGGGGCAGGTGCCTGGGATGGAAGCTTTCACCACCATTCAAATTGCTGGACCAACAGGTCATTTGTATGGAGATGCTCTGCAACAGTAACCTGTCACTTGGACAACTTCTGAACATGGGTCTGTTGGTCTTCTGGAAGACCAGTAGACTTTGTCTAAAAATAGCACAGGTGACATATCAGTGGGGTGGTTGGAAGGGTCCAGGGTAATGTGGGAGGGAGGTTGCATGGTGCACTGAGAAGCTCCATCAAACTTCATCCCAGCCTATCTTTCACACCACTGGCCCAGCAGTTGGACTGTTTTGGGAGAGAGGTTTATCTCTCTTCTAGGATGGTCTAGAAGAGTCTAGACCAGCATTTCTCAACCATGGCAGCTTGAAGATGTGTGGACTTCAACTCCCAGAATTCCCCAGCCAGCAGAATTCTGGGAGTTGAAGTCCACACATCTTCAAGCTGCCAAGGTTGAGAAATGCTGTCTAGACTCTTCTAGAGAGGTTTACCAGTCTTCCCTTCCCTTCAGCTAATAGGGGAAACTCTTGTTAGTTTCACCCCAGCTCCCAAACATTCCAAATCAGTAAGGATTGCAAGGGAATGACAGTATTGGCTGCAAGTAGCCACAGGTGGCAGCATCCAGAACTATCCCATGGAGTATGTAAAATGATATTAAAGTAAGCTAAATGGCACTGCCTCCATCCCCAACTAATGAAAACAGTAGAAAGCACAGCTATACCAACAGACCCCATGTGAGCAGAAGCAGCAGGAAACTTTCAATGCATTAATCTGGGACAGAACCAGCAATTCAAGTGTTTCCCAATTTAACTTTACCAGCTACCCCTTTTTTAACAGGCGGGTGTATTGGCCTTTTGAAAGATCACTGAACACATGTTCAATAACAGGTCTAGTGGACTAGAAAGTTGGATTTTGAAGAGGCAGGATAGAAAGAGTATTGACACTTTTGAACTTTGATGTTGGAGAAGACTCTTGAGAATACCATATATATCCAGAAAAACGAATGAACGGATCCTAGAACATATCAATACAGAGTTCTCATCTGAGGCACAAATGACCAGACTGAAATTGTCATACTTTGGACACATTATGCAAAGATCTAGTTCTCTGGAGAAGGCTCTAATGCTGGGAAAGGTGGAAGGAAAGAGAAGAGGATGACCAGCAGTAAGATGGGTGGATTCACTTAATTAAATTAATGTCTATTTTACAGCCAAAAGGCCCAAAAACAAGTTACAAATATAATCTAGACTTGACATTGAATAAAACAATTTAACAGATAAAATATTTAATAAATATTACATGACACACTTAAAAGCCCAATTCATTATCTGTTACTAAAAACCTTGTTTTTATAGCCATAGTTACAAATCTGGCTGTTGCCGCTGTGATCTCAGGATTTTCATCAGCAAGTAAAATTTTTACACTCAGAAGTATCCCTTCCTGGTTTAGATTTTAAAATAGGACAGATAACTTCCTGCTGAAGACTCTTATAAAATTCACAATACAATAAAATATGATTCACTGTTTCAGGATCAGTATCATTACAAGGACAACATCTTTGAGAGGTAGGATTTTTTTGAAATCTACCCTATAGCATATTTGATGGCAATACATTTAATCTGGCTTTTGAGAAA